AAAAATAAGTTTTTTTCTGTCCATGCATATTTGGAGCGTGAGAATAAAGCAAGATGAAAAACATAACAGGTGTTAAGAGCAATTGTTCTGACACTTATCATGCCTTTTCAGGAACTGCAGATATAAGTATGAAAAAATTCAATTAGTCTAAGTACAATCAGTTACAATGTTTATAGAATGTTCCACAATTGCTGTGTCTTGTTATGTGAATTTGGTACTGTATATTAGAATCTTACAGGAATCCTGAACTGATTCCAGGTTTCTAAGTCCAATAATAGCTGAAACCATCCAGAGTTGGAGATCCATACTGGCTTCTGGGCTCCAGAAGACCTTTAAGTGGAACCAGAGGCAAATCTCAGCAAGATGATCCCCAGTACCACATAAACAATTCTGGGTGCCCAGGAGTCAGAGTGTGTTCTTGGTAGCCCCTTCACAGTACTTTCTAGGACATGCCCTCACTGCACCAGTACTCATACTAGTACTGCCCTTTCCTGTCCATACTTCCTTTTCTTATGAAACTTGCCTGCCTGATACCAGCAGCCAAGTGACCGTTAGATTAGAAGACCACTTAATGTGCTAATGAGCAATAAACAAGAACTCCCACATTCTCTCTTCTTTGACTAGACGCTGAGTTCCTCACAGGCAATAGAGTCTCACCATTACTTTTCCTGCATGCACCCGCTCAACACTTCCAGGTGCTTAGAAAACATTACTCGCTGCCCTCCTGGAGTTTACATTCTAGAATGGGGACAGAGGCAGCAAATAATCAGAACAAATACGCAATATAATTTCAGGTAGGGAGAGGTGGGTTAGCTGGGAGAGGGGCTACTTTAGATAGGGGGCATCAAGTAAGGACCCTCTAGGATGTGAGTAAAGCGTCAGTGAAGTGGAACAAACAGCTAAGTAAGGAAAGAACAAGGGCAAAGACCTCAAGATAGGAGGGAGCACGAGCCCGGTGTTTTGCAAAACACATGAGTAAGCCCGGCACGTACAAAATAGCAAAAGATCAGATTGTAAAAGTATGGCTTGGACACTTGAGTCTTCTAGATGTGGAAAAGACTTTGGGCTTTATTCTGATACAAACCACTAGAATAAAATTCTATGCACTGACATGATCTGATTTACTAGAAAAACAAAGCAACAAAAAACACTGTCTTCTGTGTAAGAAAGAGACTTTAAAGCACTAAGTGTCGAAGCAGAAAGACCAATCAGGAAGCTACAGAGGCGTCTAGGCACACGAAGGCAGCGACGTGGGCTTGGGTGGGAACAGGAGGGTGAGAAGTGGTGGCTTTAAGGATTTACTGTAGAGCAGAAAGGACTTGCTGCAAGGTATGAGACAGAGGCGATAAACATCTAGTATAGGTTAGAAACAACAACAGTTTTTCTTTTTTGTACCGGGGATCGAATTCGGGACCTTGCGCTTGCGAGGCAGGCGGCGGAACCACTGAGCTAAATCCCTGGCCCAACAACAGGATCCTTAAATTTGCTGAGCAAATAGATCTTCTTATAATCCCCAAGCCGTTGTGGGGGTGACTGTGCATCACCATGGTGGGAATGGTGTTCGGCTGGCAGGAAGTTGGCGAAAACTCAACTGTAAAGTGTGCTCACCCCCGAGCGATGAGCGGTATCTGGGGCAGTGAGGAGGTCGGGGGACAGTATGACAGTACTCTTGCTTTGGCTAGCAGGCATCTCAAAGAAGTGGTACTTTCAAAGGAACTACATTCTGGCAGGCCAGGGAGAGGAAAAAAGAGGGTCCGCGCGGTTCATTTGACCCGCCCTTACGAGACCACAGCGAAGCTGGACCCAAACTGCAAGGGCGAGCAGAGGGAAGTTTGGGGCTTCTGGGCCGGAATTGCTCCGCCGGCGGCGCCGTTACCTACATGAAACCAGCACCCCCGGTCACCAGGACCCGCTTCGCAAAGCTGCCAGGTAGACCCAGGGGTTCCGCTCGGCCAGCCGCCGACATCTCCCAGCTCGGCAGTGTCTAACACCGTAAAGCGCCGCGTCTGAAGACCGGAGGGAAGTACCACGGAGACGTTTTTGCGACACGCCTCGCTCCCTGGACTTGTTACGGCGCAGTCACCAGCGGCTTCCGGAGTAGGAGCCGAGGTTGCTTTCTCCCCGCCCACTGATGGGCGGGGCGCGGTCGTGCTGTGCCACCGCGCAGGCGCAGGTTCTCGGCCATTGCGGGGAGGGGGGTGGCTAAGAATCAATGGGGTTTCCGGGTTAGTGAGGTAAGAAATTATATTTTCTAGGCATGTGTCACCAGCCTGGGTAAGGCATCACTTAAATACGCTGAAGCTCAGAGTTTTGAATGAGTGCTTTCTTTTCATTCTTGTACTTAGGCTTTTTCCAGAGATTACACACCACTTCAGCTAAGAGCTGTGGGGTGTCCTGTTCTTGCACTGCGGACATGGGAGTTGCAATAGAAAAATTACCTTTTATTGTTAATATCATTATGGTCAGCACAACCTACTTGCAGTTATGATAAGGATTTTCCTCAGATCCTACCCTTGGGTCTTACACTATTATTCTCCCTCTTGTTCACTCTGTCACAGTCTCCAGGTCCTCCTTACTCTCTCTTGAAATGCCCAAGAGGGCTACTTCCCCAGCCCTGAAGCCTTTTCCTCTGATGTCTGCGTAGCGTTTAATTCTTCAATTCTTAGCTTGAATGTCATCCTATTAGAGTCTTTCCTTGACCACTCCCAATTGAAATAGCTAGTTCTACCCTATCCCTGCAGAACCATCTTACCTTTCTTTATTTTTCATTATGGCACTCATCAGCATATGTATTGTGTCCAGTGTCTCTACTTCCTGGAGGTAGGGGCTTTTACTTAAGATTCATTTTATTTTTATTTCCAAGTCCTCAGGCCAAGGCCTAGCACAGAATAAATGATCAGTAAGTGTTCTTAAGCTGATGAATAAATAACCCTCCATAATGGAAAAAGCCTAAAGAGAATAGGAATACTCAATATATGTGGGGCTAACCTTTTTGAGGGCAAAGTGATAACATACAAAAAGTTCAAATGTACATACTCTATGACACTTAAATTCCATGATGTCTTAACTAGATAATTGTTGTATTGTTTAATAAGAAAAAATAGATGTAATCTTGGGCTGGGAATTTAGCTTAGTGGTTCCACTGCCTGCCTTGCAAGCACAAGGGCCTGAGTTCGATCCCCAGTACCACCCAAAAAAAAAAAAGATGTAATCTAAATGTGCATGAGATTTTCTGACTTTTAAAGTATGATAGATATATTATCTTTAAAAAGAATGCCTATCATGGAATGAGGACCAAAATATTTGGAATGGATTCTTACAGCTTTTAAAAAACCCGAATCACCTATCCTTTGTTATCCATCAAGTTGGTTTATGACAGGCTGGCTACAGGATGGACATTTGTCTTACTCTAGGTCAATTGAAGCTTTTTCTTGATATTTCAAATTGGTGTACTAATGCTCTAGTACGATTTACTTGCTCTTCTTGTTCTCTGAGGACCTACTTATTTAGTTCTTGTTTGTGGCCATATTCTTTTAAATAAACTGAGGAACCCAAAAACCTGTCTTTAGTGATAGAGAAAAACAAAGCTGATCAAGAGAAGAAAGACAAGGGACAGAAGAGAAGGCCTCACAACATTCAAAGACTATCCACGTACTGCTTTTCCTTCAGGATGAATTTTATCTCTTTCCTTGGCTTACAAAAAAACACTATTAAAGGGGGGAAAATCTTTAGACATTAAATTTATTAGAGTTTATTTGAGCAAAGAATTTGAGAGTGGCAGCCTGTGACTGGCTGAAATTCACGTATTGTGATTGGCTCAGGCTATTACTTGTTAGAAGACTATACTTCTAGTTAGACTGCAAATTGTAGATATGATAAGTTTGGTTCCAGTATTCTATATAGGAATTCAAAATATTGGCAGGAGCTTGATAGGAAAGTGAGGAATTCTGGTTCCAGGGGCATTTATCACAGACTTGGGAGTTTGAGAAAGGCTTCTTAAAGTGGATTGGGGGAAAGGGAATATAGTAGGAAAAGAAGGGGATGTAGATGTGGTAGGACAAGCAGAAGTATTCCAGCTAGGGGATTTGCAAATGGTACAGGCCTAAAGATGAGACTTGGTGTATTTATGGAACAGGTAGGGATGGCGATTAGAAGTTGAAAGATGGAGATGTGAAAGGTTTGCGATCTATAATCGGAAGAGTTTGGGTTGTGCACTAAAGGCAGTGGAGGGTCTTTGAAGGAAAGTAATGTAACCAAACTGTTACCTACAGCGTTCTGTGGCTCTAAAATAGAGACAGACACCGCCAGTTAGAAGTCAGACTGGAAGGAGGTCAATTGCCGTAGGCCAACTAAGTGATGCCCTGAATATGCTTGTTGCTACGGCTTCCTACAATCACCAGAAGAGGAGCCAATAAACATTTGTTGTGAGGGCCTAATAAGGATGGACCCTGCAATTCCCCGTTGTCAGGCCTGCTGAGTGAAGATCTAATTCAAGGAGACAGGGAAACTACGATGGAGAAATAAGTTCGGGCCAAGAAAAGTCATGCTTTAAACTCTAGACAGGTTAAGTGTCTTTGAGATACTAAAGTGGACATATCCAGTAGATTATATAGGCGTAGAGGGCGAAAAAGCTAAGAACATGGACTTTTCCTCTCTTGACCATAAGCGTAACTATCACAAGTTTCTCAATTCTTCCTGAATTCCACAATCAGCTCAAGAACCCACCCAAACCGGCGAGTTTGCGCATGCGTAGTAGTGTGCCACGCCAGAGTCCGGAGGACTATAGTTTTTCCGCAACCCGAAGCCAAATCCTCTCGATTCCCATAGGAAAAAAAGGCGGGAACTAGCCAAAAGCAAAGGAGTGATGGGATGCGCACATCTGCGCGTCCCGCCCACCTCGGCCTCTTATTGGTGGATACCGTCTACTCGTGGAAGACGGGTTCTCCTCATTGGCTGTCAGTCTCCCGGCAGCACTGGTCCCACCCCTTTCCCGGCTGCTGACGTGGGGCTGATAGACTCAGGCTGTTAGGGTTCGGGGTGCCGATGAGGAGCGGGAGGCGGGGAATGAGGGGGCTGTGGCTCCTGGCGGTGGCCCTCGTGTGCTGCTGGTGGCCGCGGGGCAGCCAGGGCAAGACCCTGCGGGGCAGCTTCAGCAGCGCCGCTGCCCGAGACGCTCCGGGCCAGAGCATCGGCCACTTCGAGTTCCACGGTATGCCCTCTTCAACATTGCTTGCAAAACACGTTGAAGAATCGTGAGGC